AGTTCATTCCTATAATTCGGGGAAGTCCGCAACCTGCTTCCACACGAATCCGGGAGTCGACTTCGTTTCCCGCGCAAGAGTCCTAGGTATCCACATTTTGAATTGAGGTTCTTCCCATGCGTGATATGGGACGATATCATCAGGAAAGCAACAGTGGATATAATTTGCATCAAAAACCCGTATAAAGTTCAAAACTAACTTCATCATAATCGACAATGCCGATCGTGTGTACTCCGGCTCCAGCGAGATACATGGCGACAGGACAGCCTAATCCACCGGCTCCAACCACAAGAACCTTGACAGAGCAAACAAGTTCTTGACCTTAATTCATCAAAGTGAGCGTTCGGGTTTTTGCAAAAGTTAAAACTGACTGGCGCACTTGGCAGGTCCTAGCAAACCAAACAGAGCTCACCTTCTACTCCAAAATCCTCCAAAAGCAATTGTCTGCTATATCTTGACACCTGCTCCTTAGTTAAAGAGTGCTTCATGGTTGGCGTAACTTCAGTAACGCTGGCAAAACTAATATAAACTAAACAAATTCGATAGCACAAATTGGCGAAGAACAAAGGGAATTGGAGAAAAATACTTCACAAAACATACAAAGAAAACCGGCGAGAACTACTTCATCCGGGTTTGGATCTATGTGGATTTTGCAACCGAAATGGCATACGAAACTATCATGCGTCCTAATACCTGCAGAACTGTACAAAATCACCAAATGAAACCACTTTGTTCAGAAGCGAAAATTTGAAACATAATCGTTGCCGTATGCTTCGATGTTTGAGGAAAAGTTACACAAAACATTTTCGCTCCACGCCAAAATGTGAAGAGTCGATGCTTTTTCTTTTTGAAGCAAAGCTCTGTTTCTTTTCTTTTGCCTTCACCTCCAATATTTAATTTGATTTCTATAAATTGCTAGTTTATAGATGCTGAGGGCATGCGGATCGAGGTCGCGCACCTTGGGAAGCGTGCGGAGGCTAGCCTCTCATTCCAAACCAGAGGATAGCAATATCGAGAGGAAGCCAGATCTCTATAGGTGGGCAAAGTCATTCGTTTTTCTGCCTTCGATTCTACATCAGCGGTGTTCGTGCCTGAAAAGAAGGGTAATAAACCCCTACATTGGTTTTCAAATTGCTACATATACAATTACACACAATAACTCAAGAAATATCACAATCCAAGATATAATTCGTGATCCTTATGCTTTGCAGGCCAGGATCAGATTCATACGCATATGACAACCCATGGCCGAAACTGAATGGCGGCCGATTGGATTGGTTGTTTGGCGATGGCTGGAGACGACCTTTGGCAAAGGACCAAGGAGCTAAAATGGCGAGGATTTCCTGTTTTTGAGCTTTCTTTGCGTACAACAAGTAAGAAATTGAACTTTCACCTTTCCAGCGAAGGGAGTGGATATGGTTCAGTCAGATCTCTCATGATGAGCACAAAGATTGGCTGAAGTTTCACCAGGTCCGTTTCGTTGTTGTCACCGTTGCTTTGAATAACTGGTTCATCAATTGTTATTTAGTTTCTTTTTGTTTTGATTAGAACATGATTTTTTTTGAAACCAAAGCTGAGAGTTTTTCACATCATCGAGCGCCTGCCGAAGAAAATTGAGCCCTATTCCATCTTAGTTGACCCAAAAATGAACTTCCTGAATTTCGCCAAAATTTCGTCTATGGGGGATACTTGGAACGCTGAATACGAATATGATGTATTTCGCGCGGTAGCGCCATCCGGTGGAGTT